AAATTCAGAATCTATTGAATGTCCATTATTATTGTTATTGTCATATAAGTGATTCCAATTTGAATTCCAGTGACCACAGGCTAGGTATTTCAGTGGAAATACCACTGGATTCCACTGGGAAATTAGACCATTATTCCACTGGATTCCACTGGGCAATTTGGCCTGGAATTTCCAATAGAATTGATCTGGATTCCAGTGGAAATACCACTGGATTTCAGTGGAATACCAGCAGAAATTCCACTGGGCAATTTGGCCATGAATTCCAGGTCAAATTGCTGGTGGAATCCAGTGGTATTTCCTCTGGTATCCAAGTGGAATTCCATTGTTTATTTTCATATGTTATTAGACTTTCATGAACTTTCATGAAATGTGGTAATTTGTACATGTTCATGAAAGTTCATGAATATTCAAGCATTTTCCATTCATGAAATTAAAATGGGACGCTTTTCTTCATGAACATTCATGAAAATTCATGAATTGTTGCCATTTTTCATGAATGTTCATGAATTCATATATTCATGAATATTCATGATTTTATATTCATGAATATTCATGATTTGACACATTCATGAATATTCATGATTTTACACATTCATGAATATTCATGAATTTATATTCATGATTTTCACATGCTTTCATGATTCATGAAATATTTTGCTCAAGATTATTCATGAAGTTTTAAGTTCATGAATTTCATGAAAATATTCATGAACAAATCAAGAACATTCATGAATATTATTCATGAATATTTCATGAACTGTTCATGAAGTTTCATGAATTATTCATAATCATTTCGCAGGGGTGTATCATTTCTACAAAATGAGTTGACATTCTTAGTTGAAACAGGCTATAACTAAACTTCCAAGGATTTCCTATATAAACACCTTCCTTTCAATTCTCCAGAGTTGGTGTTCGGGGAACAAAGCCACTTTTTACCTGTACCTAGACCGTAGTTTTCCCTACCCGGGGCACTTACGTAACTCGCCAAGGTGTGAAAATCTAGGTAAACGGTTGCTATAGATCAAAACGAATGCAAATAACAATTACTGCTTACTGCATACTTCCCACCTCTCACAATGGTAAAAACTGTGGGCAATACATCACTTACTACCACAGTCCACTGCACACATAATCCCCTTTCATGGCCAATCATGATTACATGACCATGAAAGGGGATGTGCCCAGTGGACTGTGGTCACAAATACTGTAAGAAAGGGGAGATAATCAATCAGTGAGTAACGATGAAGTCAATACAGTGGAAAGGATAAACTTAGTTGACACATTTAAAATAAAAATAATAAAAGAAACAAGAGGCCCATGGGCCTTAACGGTTACCTGATATATTTATACAGAGAGTTGATTTTGTTTTGAACATGAACAGAAATATTATTCAAAGTGACAAAAAACAATAAAACCACCTTATTCAATATCTAGCATACAGATTTCAGACTAAAAAGGATTTGAAACTAGCACCTCTGATTCTTAACAAGGAAAATGAAGAAATTTTAGCACAC